TACCCAAGAAAGGAGACCTGCATGAGTGTAGAAACTACAGAGGAATCATGCTCCTGTCCATTCCTGGGAAGATTTTAAGTCGTACCATACTGGAAAGACTGAAGGAAGCCGTGGAGCAGGCAGGATTTCGTAAAAAGAGATCATGTACAGATCAGATTGTAACTTTGAGGATGATATTGGAGCAGTCCACAGAGTGGAAGTCTTCCCTGTACGTTAACTTTGTTGACTACGAGAAAGCTTTTCACAGCCTAGATAGGGACTCAATATGGAAGCTCATGCGCCACTACGGAATACCTGACAAGTTCGTGAGATTGATCAAGAAGATGTATGAGGGAATGAGTTGCAGTGTCTTACATGGAGGGCAGCGGACAGACTCATTTGACGTTAATATCGCCTTTTCTCTTTCTATTAGCAGTGGATTGGATAATGAGACAGACAACATCGGGACAACGCAGTGGCATACAGTGGACCCTTTCCAATCAGCTGGAAGACTTGGACTTGCCGACGACTTGGCACTTCTTTCTCACAGTCGAGCCCAGATGCAATAGAAAACAGATGGCCCCAGGACCTTCTCCCGTAGTGTTGGACTCCATATTCACACGGATAAAACGAAAGTTTAACGAATGAATGCAGCCGACGTTCCTATCACACTGCAAGGGGCACCATTGGCGGATGTTGAATCCTTCACCTGCCTGGGAAGTGTCATCAACAAGGGAGGGGGAACAGACGAAGACATCAAGGTCAGAATCCAAAAGGCAAGAGCAGCATTCATCATTCTCAGGAATATATTATGGATGTCTAAGGAACTGGGATTGAACACCAAGCTGAGGATTTTCAAAACAAACGTGAAGACTGTTCTACTGTATGGTTCAGAGACATGGAGGCTCACAGCATCAGCAGCAAGGAAACTGCAGAGCTTCGTAAATGGATGCCTACGAAGGATAGTGGGGATCAAGTGGTACGATCGAGTCACAAATGCTCAACTGTGGGAGAGAACAAGCCAAAGGCCAGTAAAGGAAGACATATAGGTGAAGAAATGGAAATGGATTGGACACACCCTGAGGAGACCCCCGTCAAGCATCATCAGGCAGGCTTTAACGTGGAACCTTCTAGGAAAACGTAAGAAGGGAAGACCAAAGATGACATGGAGGCGAGCGGTACAAGCGGAAATTGAAAAAGCGGGGACATCATGGAAACAGATAGAAAAGGATGCTCAGGGCAGGCTTCGCTGGAGTAATGCTGTTGATGGCCTGTGCTCCACTGGGAGTTAAAAAGGGCAAGAGAGAGGACATTTTCTTGCCAATTTTAACTCTGACACCAGGCAACCTCCACTTTCTTCTGTCACAAATATCTTGACTTTTACTGCCAGCCCTAGGCCTCCTCACTCCCTCTATTCTGCCAACTCTATGCTCATCCTAAGGGTGGCAGTGTAACAAGTTTTGATTCTATTTCAATGTCTTAAAATTATTGCACTAAATCTGTGCTGGAATATCTGCTTGTGTAGTATGACTGCAAAAAAAAAAAGAGTTACATTTCTGCTGTGAATTAGTCGGTAGATTCATGGATAATTATGATAGTATGCTGGATGAAACTCATTAAGTTAGTCAAATTCATTGTTTTCAATTATTATCCTCCTTTATTGTATAATTGCTCTTAAATAGTCTCACAAAACTCTTCACAGTCCCTTCATTATGATAGTTCATTCAATTACCTATCCAGTAGTATCAAATATAGATTGACTGCTCAGTGTAAGACTCCGTCATGCCACTTTTCAAAATGGCATATGGCAAAGTCTTACACTAAGCAGTCGGTATGTCGATGTTGAAAACATATAACAGAATCAATTTGAATATTGTACCCCCCTCACCCCCTTTTCCCCCTCCTCTGGGCTCCTGACTCTTTCTGCAGCCTTTCTACTGCTACTCCATGGCTACTTCTTACTGCTGTCTTTCAGCCACACCCCTGATCTTCTGGTAGGAAAGATCTATACCTAGCTTTCTCTGACAAGGGCGAAAAATTTCTGAGGTGCCGTGTGCAAGCTGCGCACGTTAAGGATCCTTTGGTGGTCTAAAATCCATAAGAGTATGCTTTGACCGCCAGCTGAACAAAATAAAAATTTTTCTACCGACTGCAGATGTTTAATGTGTCCTGGGCACTCATTTGACCTTATGCAGTTGTGAGCGCCGTAAAACACTTAGATCTGCCCCAAAAAATAAACAAATTAAAAAAATAAGAATATTGTCTCTCTTGTAATACACATCATCAATGCCTTTCACCCCTGGCAGGGTATAGGCCACATACAAGCTCCTTCCATTCATCTCTGTCCTGGGCCATCCTTCCTAGCTCGTTCCAAGTGAGCTTCATCTCTCTCATATCCCTTTCCACTCATCACCTCCATGTCTCTCGTGGCCTACCCCTGCCTCGTGCTCCCTGTGGGTTCCATTGCAGTGACTGTCTTGTGATGTTTCCGCTGGGTTTTCTGAAGGTGTGTCCCATCCAACGCCACTTTCTTAGTCCTATGTCTACTTCTATATCCTTTTGATAAGTCTTGTCCTTTAATTTCCCATAGCTCTTTATTTCTTATTCTATCCTGCCACTTAATTCTCAGGATACTCCTCATACATCTGTAGATGAAAGTCTGGACTTTATTCACCACTGTCCTTGTTGTCTTCCAAGTTTCGCAGCCATCGAGGAGCACAGACTTGACATTGGAATTAAAGAGTCAAATCTTGGTGTGCAGTGAGATGTTGTTTGCTTTCCAGACTTTGATAATTGCTTGAAAGCTGACCTTGCCTTGGCGGTTCTTGCTTTTACATCCGCCTCAGTTCCACCTTTACCATCGATGACACTTCCAAGGTAGGTAAAGGAGTCCACTTCTTCTAGGGGATTGTCTTCCACTGTCACAGCAGGGCTTGACACTTCCTAGCTTCACTACTTTCGACTTGCCCTGGTGTATACGTAAGCCAACACTCCTTGATAGGCTGTTGAGTTCCTTGGTCTTTTCTTGCATCTGAGCATGTGTGTGAGAGCAGTGCTAGGTCATTGGCGAAGTCCAAGTCGCCCAGCTGCTGCCAAGGGATCCACTGTATTCCGTTGCGCTTGCCTCTGGTGGCTACCTTCATGATCCAGTCAATTGCAAGTATGAAGAGAAAAGGTGAGAGCAGGCATCCTTGTCGCACTCCTGTCTGCATCTGGAATGGTTCTGAGAGTTGTCCTTCGTGGAAGACTTGGCAGTTTGTTCCATCATAGGTGGTCTTCACAAGCTTGACAATTTTGTCAGGTATTCCATAATGCCGCATAAGTTTCCGCAGAGTTTCCCTGTCCACGCTGTCAAATGCCTTTTCATAATCAATAAAGTTGACCACTAGTGGTGAATTCCATTCAAGCGATTGCTCAACAATGATGCGCAGGGTAGTGATCTGGTCCACACATGATCGGTTCTTGCGGAATCCTGCCTGGTTTCCTCTGAGCTTCTCATCTGTTGCCAGCTTGATTCTCTCCAGGAGCATCCTGTTAAAGACTTTCCCAGGTATGGACAGGAGTGTTATGCCTCTGTAGTTGTTACAATTGCTGAGGTTTCCTTTCTTTGGCAGCTTGATTAGGTGGCCTTCCTTCCAGTCTGATGGTATTTCCTCTTCTAGCCAAACCTTTTCGAATAGAGCATGGAAAATTTCCACTGATGTATCTTTATCTGCCTTAAGGGCTTCTGATGGTATATGGACGGGACCAGCTGCCTTGTGGGATTTCAGTGCTGTTATAGCTGCAGCAATTTCGTCTCTCGAAGGTGGTTCCGTTGTGATTGGGAGGTTATTTCTGGCTGGAAGAATTTCTGGTTGGTTTTCTGGAGGTGGTCTGTTCAAAAGTTGATCAAAGTGTTCTCTCCATCGGTTCAGTTGCCCCTCTGGGTTGAAGATAGTCTTTCCCTCTTTGCCTTTCACTGGTAGAGTGGGCTTGCTGAACCTACCTGAAAGAGTCTTCGTTGTCTGATGTACAATCCGCAAGTGCCCGTCTGTTGCTGCTTTCTCTGCCTTTTCGGCCAGGCCATTCAGGTAGGTATTCTTGTCCTTCTTGATGGAATTCTTTACCTCCCGGTTTGCTTCGGTCTACTCTTGTTGTGCAGCGAGTTTCTCAGTTCGGGTACAGCAGTTGTTGACTCGGGCCTTCAGCTCTCTTCTTCTTTTAATTTTGTCTAGAGAGCCCTGTGGAATCCATTCATTCCTGGTGTTGACTTTGGGTCCTAGGATGCTCTGGCAAGTTGCATTTACTGCCTGTTTTATCTTGTCCCAGTGTTCGTTTACTTCACAGTCATCCAGATCTTGAAGGGCTTGAAATCTGTTCTTCAGTTCCAACTTAAACTCATTCTTCTTTACTGGATCTTTCAGAAGGCTCACTTCATACTTTTGGCGACTTCCAGTTGTGATTTGTGCATACCTTCTCAGTTTCAGTTTCATCTTTTCATGGATCAAATGGTGGTTTGATGCGACGTCTGCTCCTCGTAAGACTCGGATGTCCTCCAGTGAGCGTCTTAACTTTCAGGAAATGCAAAAATGATCAATCTGGTTTTCTGTTGTTCCTTCCGGGGAGACCCAAGTGGCCTAATGAATTTTTTAATATGGGAAGATTGTTCCTCCAATAACCAAGTTGTTGAATGCACAGAAGTTTTGGAATCTTTCTCCGTTGTCATTTGCCTCCCCTAATCCATGTCTGCCCATGATTTCCTAACAGTGACGATTGTCCGAACCTACCTTTGCATTTAGATCTCCCATGACAATGTTGATGTCCTTACCTGTAATACACAGCTCCTTAGTAAATTGATTTCGGCGTAATGGGCAGTTCAGTCAAAAATCACTCACGGCACAATTAGCTGCTTTTTCATGGGAAGGAGGGCATGAAGAGGAGGTTTGAGAGTAGAGTCTAAGGCTTTCTTTATTGTAACATAAGTTGCCGTCTGTTGGTTTTCACATATTGTTTGTTTATGACATTACTCTATTGTTTTGTAGGAGAAAGTCAAGCTTTTCTGGGCGTGTCTCGTGGAAGGATGTTAAAAAACAGCAGAACCGCGAGTCAAGAGAAAGGCACTCTCAGCAGAAGTGTCAGCCTCAAGATGAATTGGAAAAACCCGCTCTGGGCCAGTTGCCCAATGCCCCTTCGAACCCCTGGTAGGCCTACTATCTTCATAACTTCAACACTATTCACAATTTAAAATTTTTTTTTTTTTTAAACATTTTGTTTTGTCTTGTTCCACAATTACTCTTGTTAGATCTATTTTTGGGGGGTGATTAAACCTAAAAGTGTGTGTCAAGAATGCGCATTTTTTGGCATTTTCATCTTTGATTTAGATAATTAAGTGCATTGGTGTCTGTGCTTGTGCGTCAATCACAGAATGATGTTTAGAATCAAAATTTTCTGAATCCCATTGTTTTAGGGTTTGTTTTGTCAAATGGTGAGTTTTGTCAACAGGTGGTTGATGGGTGGTTTTTTTTTTTGTGTGTGTGCATATGCTGGAGCAGTACGACATCAAGGGACAACTGCTAGACAACATCAGAGCTATCTATGCCAACAGCAGAAGCGCAGTCCGCACTACCAGTTGAACATCGGACTGGTTTCCAGTTACATCCGGAGTCAGACAGGGCTGCAATCTCTTCGTGATCTACATGGGCCAGATTACAAAGGAGGCCAATCCAGACCCAGAGGCACTCAACGAACTCATGTTTGCAGACGACCTGGCAATGGTGAACAACAAGACCCAGCTACAGGAGCATATGAACCAACTGAATGCGAGCTGCGAGAAATATGACATGAAGATCAGTATTAGCAAGACCGAAATCATGACAATTAGCAGGAGACCAGACAAAGTGGATATCGACATCAATGGATCCCAACTAAAACAAAGCAGCGAATTCAAATACTTGGGCAGCATTTTCAAAGAAAATGGAAAATTACACAGAGAAATAGAGACTAGATGCCAGAAAGCCAACGCAGTCAGCTACCAACTTGGCCCCACTCCTGAAACATCCCAATATCCCCATGAGCACCAAGGCGAAGCTCATCAACGCCATTTTCCTTCCAACACTCACATATCAGTGCCAGACATGGTCCCTTACAAAAGCTCTAGAGAGGAAACTGGTCACATTCGAGATGAAATGCTTAAGAAGAGCGGTTAACTAAACAAGAAGAGACACAATAAAAAATGAATTCATAAGGGACACCGTAGGAGCAACACCAGTCCTTGCACACATTGAAAAACAAAAGGTCAATTGGTTCGGACACCTCACGCGGATGCCCTCAAACCATCCAGCTCTGAGAGCGTACAACATTAAATATTCTGGCTAGAGAGCCAGAGGAAGACCTAGGCGATGCTGGAGTGAATCTGTAGCAGACACCCTCAGAGCTCACGGGATGTCCCTCCTACAGGCCACTCACCTTGCTGCAGACAGACGCACCGGTACAAGCAGAAGAAAAAAAAATTAAAAGTAAAGTAAAGTGCATATGCTATATGCTACACTTTCTACTTTTCCCAACATTCCTATTACCTATTGCCCAGATTGGTTATAGGCCTATTGGGTCATTGTTGTATTGACTCGCTGTTTTTCTATATTTTCTATTAATTCTAACTCTGCAACATCTGTGGTATAAAGGCAGTGTTCTCATAAGACGTTGGTTTGATTTCTGTGTGGGGAAGTATGTTTTGTTTATTAGGTATCTTCGAATGTGTGTTGGGATGTTGTATCTGTCTCAGTCTGGTTTGGCCCTGACAGGCAGGGGTGAAGAAGCCTGCCTACAAAAAGATATACTTTGTACAGGTGCGGGCACAAATTATTAACAATAATATACAAATACAAGACATACCCCCCCCCCCCCCCCCCTGCAGTTTGTGCTAAAAGACTTTTGGAGTGGGTGGTTGGTGGGTGCTCTGGTGTGGTTTGTTCCTTCTTTCCTATCTGTCCCCGTGGTTTTATGCACCCCACATAATTTAGCAAAATTTGATCATTTTTTGCATCATTTCTGATTATTTTCCTTTATCGTTCTTTGTTAAAATTAACAGAATCGCATAATTTCACATTTTTGGGCTCAGTTTGCATAATTTCAGATTTTGTTTTGCAGAAAACCTTGCGGACAGTCCTATTAAACAACTATCGTCTTTATCTCTCCTCCTTTTTTATGTTTGTTACTCTCTTTCAACACCTCTAATCTTAGGCACTTATATGACCTTATTGTGTTGCAAGTGCCATAAAACTCTTCCTAGAACTAAAAAAGACTTTTGGAAAGATTATTGATATAATATAGCTAAGAAGACGAAACGATCTTGATGGCGTGTTGTGTATCTTATCTCTTCAGGAATTCAATCAGTGGAGTGGTCAAGTCTTTCCGAGACCTGATGCTTTTGGAAGAGGGCAAGGTATCCATCCACCCAAGCCTCTCCCCCACAGAGAGAGCTCCGCCCCCTGGATCCAGGAAGACATCAGCCGGGTCAGTCAGTCCCAGTGCTGGAGCTCTGGGAAAGTCACCTCCAAGAGGGTCCACATGGTCAGTTTTGATTTTTTCTTTGATTTTTGTTTTCGTGACCTATTGTATTTTGTTGGCAGGATGTTCAGTTGTTCCAAGCCGAGAAAGCAAAATTGTTAAGGAGAGAGAAAAAACTGTTTCATACCTTTAAAAGTTGTAGGCCTTCCTCTTTTCTTGCTTTTATCAACATTTAGTATTTGAATTTCAACAAACTGCGATGAAAATAATTTTCTAACTTTCATTTTGAGCTTAATGTACGGAACAACTGGTTGACAATTTGTACCGTTTAACTGGTTGACATGTCCTCTTATGTGTGTTAAACAATTTTTTTTCCTTTCTTACCATGCATGATATGGGCTTAATGCATCTTTCAAGACAGTAAGGTGCAGAGGGAGGACCTCCATTTTCAAGTATGTCTCCAATTAGACTGAGCCATCAAAATTTCCCAAAGGATATCGGGTGAAAGTCATCAGCATGATATCTGTCAACAGAAATAACAATGCAGTGCTCATTTTTGTAAGTCAATGTTGTGGGTGCAAGGCACAGGTTTTATTTTTAATGGTGCAAGTGTAAAAGTTGCTTGTAGCATGTAGGTTTTAAATAGTGCAAGATTTACTGTACAGTCGAACCTGCATTAACGGAAAACTGTGTAAGACGGAAACCTGCTTTAACAGAATCTTTCTGCTCCCCACTTGATAAATTCCTTTTTAATTTCTTCTATAAAACGGAAAACTATCTAACGGGGAAACGAAAAGAAAAATTCCTTGCCTCTACCTGTCCAAAACGGAAAATGCTTTGCCAACTCGGCCCTGATTTGAAACAAAAAACTATAAAATTTGGTTCCATTGGCTCTGACTCTAACCTTTACGCCATGCCGTCAGGCGAGGAAGGGGAGTAGGGATGTGATTTATGGCTTGATGTTACCCCATCCATGTGAGAAGATGGACAGGATGGTATATGGCTGTGAAATATCACCAGTGTCTGTGAAAGTGCTCGAGTAGCGCTCCAGCAAGGAAACTCTCATGAGTAGCAAGAGGCCAGAGGTGTGAAATTAGTTTGACCAATGTCTTCTGCCTTGATCATAATAATATGGTCAGCTGAGGAAAGAGTTCCTCAAATCGTTGTATACTGTGGCATTGGCTGACTGTGCTTATTACACTGATGGATGAGGCTTAGGGTGGAAGCAAATGTTTATGTTTTTAATAGGTCGAACCGTAGTCCAACGAAAAACAAGCATTGGTGGAATTGGATAGCCTAAGTAGGACTGATGCATGCCATTATCAAGGAGTATAGTACTTGAGTGGTGTGGAGTTTTCAGACCTGCCACTCATCCCGATTTTATCAAGATATCCCGATTGTTTGCCTCAAATCTCAAGCATCCCTTTTCCCGATTTCGATCACATGTAACCCGATTTTTTTGTGCCAACTGTTGCGCTGTGTGACACTGAGGCTTGATTGGGAAATCAACATCTACTTTTGCTTTCGTTACCACCCAGAAATTTGACTGTGATAATGATAGTCTGATGCCGCAACATTTGTGAACTACAGGTCGTGCATTATAAACGCTGTGTGGCCACGCAAATAAATCGATATTTGTCACTGTGTTGTCACTTGTAAAAGAAAAAAAAAATACAAGCGTCGTCCGATTTTCAGCTTGTCGGGTTCGTCGTCGTGACCGGCCAGTGAACCTGCGCTCGTTCGCATCACAAGCTACAGCATCGTGTGAGTGTGAGTACCGGCGGTTGTTTAGGTCACCAAAGTTCATTCAAAGTCTGAGCGTTGCGAAATATGACTCAGTATTGTTGATTTTTGTAAAAAAGATACACTCGCCATAATCTCATTAGCAAAGGCGAAAAGATCAAACGAATTCAACAGTCTAAATATATGTAATACAATAACATCTGATGCCAAATGTTCCACAGACTGCGTTAAAAAGAAATTCTAGATTATTGACAAATTTACCTATGCCCACGAAACTTGGCATGGCACTTCTACAGGCTAGCGACCAAACAAAAATTTTTTTTTTTAAATCTTGATCCAGTAATAAAAAAGTTTTTCTATTTGGGCCCTATATTAAAAACATTTCTATGTGTGCATACACAGGATCACGTCTCCACGTACTACAGGTGAGTCTCGAGAATTACTCACCCTGTCTCTTGAAACATGTTTCTTAGGCGATCGTTGAAGAGCGGTAATAAACTTCCGTTGTGAAGGAGAGCTACGCAGATTTGTTTCGTTTCTCAGTAGAATAGAAAGGCCAAAGAAGGACTGGAACTTTTTATCAAATACATGTATATTTTTCTAAATTCAGGAAAGGAATAAATCAAAAATCGGGTTCCGTCATGGGGACCTATCTATCTTTATGCAGGTAGGCTATTTGCCAACTTTCAACTCTGTAGCTGTCGTAGTTTTATGGGAAAAGTGACACTTGAGTTTCCAAGTTGTGGTCTAAATAAGGTTATTTAGGGGGTGGCCTAAATGAGATCACCCAAAATATTTAGGTAATTTGCAGTCACCTTGAATATTTGTCGTTGACCCCGATTTTTGTTCACCAAATCCCGATTTTTTCATCCGTGAGATCCTGATTTTTAGATTTCATAAAGTGGCAGGTCTGAGTTTTGAGCACTGCTTGCAGACCAGCTGGACAAGCAACCCAAGTTAATCCTATCGGCTGAGCCTTTGACCCCCCGCCCCGAACTTCCTCCTAAATTCCCCAAAGAAGTAATTTTTTACTGGCTCCCTTGCAACTCTGGCTGACACAGGCTCGACTGTACTTGTATATTTTTTATGATAGCAATACGGTTGCAAACATAATTGTTTTCACTGTTTGAATATTGTGTACCAAGATGGCCACTGTCATATAATGATCAGGGGGTTTTTAAGTGTTGAGTCAGGTTTCAAGGGAAAGTTCTGCCACATGCTGTCTTCTGGTCTAGCCTGAATGATTTACATTTTGAAAGATTTATTTTTGGTAGAAGGAGTGATATCTTTCTAAGAGTTTTTCAGTGCCATGCTTTTTGTAAGACGCAAGTCTACAAGAGTAGATGTTGTGTGCCTGTTAAAGGGTCCCACATCTCAACTGTCCCTTAGATGTTTCTGTCTTGAAAAGAAGCCTCTTAGTGGTAAATGGTTGGAAGGTGCCCTTTATTATGTTCCTCTTTTTATTTTTCTGTTTGTCATCTTGCTTGTCCTGGGTAGACACTGTGCTATCTGATTACGATTCTGGTGATGTTTGCCTCTGTTCTGGAGAAAACTCTCAAAACTAGGTGGCTGAAGGGTGTTGGTGTTTTCTTATAGGGTGACCTTATTTAGGCCACATATGGCCTAAATAAGCTAAACCCCCCTCCTTTACCTTATTTAGGCCACAGGTGGCCTAAATAAGC